ATATTTGTTGTTCAAGGTATAGCTTATAAAGAACGAAAAATAAATAAAACATTTAATAAAGGAATCGAAGCATGTGCAATAGATATTAACTGTGCAAACTTAACAATACTTTCTATATACAAACCTCCAGATGTCAAAGTCACTCAGCAAGACTGGGAAAAATTGTTCGGACAATTCACTAATAAAACAATTTTTTGTGGAGATTATAATGCACATCACCCCTCTTGGGGCCCAATTCCGGAAGATCCAAATGGTAGGATTCTCTATAATGCATTAGATAACCTTGATTTAGTTACATTAAATGACGGCACCCCAACTAGAATTTCCCCAAGCGGCACACAAACGGCAATAGACTTAACTGTTACTGCTCCTCGTTATGCAGACTTATTCAATTGGGAGGTACTACCAGACACATTGGGTTCAGATCATTTTCCAATTTATATCGAACTTTAAATAAATCCATCATCCTTTTAAATAAACCCTTCTACTAAATGGAATGATTTTAAAGCCGACTGGCCCAGTTTCCAAACAAGTATTATATCTTCATTTAAAAATCTGCCTTCTTTTGACTCCCTAAATGATTGTGAGAAAATCGAGTTCATCTTCGATACTATTAATTCTGCTGCCCACTAAAAAACCATTTAAACCCACTACTTATAGGCCATTTTGGTGGGATGAAAAATGCTCAAATATGACTTCAATTCGAAGACAAGCATTAAATGAAACAATCAAATTATGTAAATTATCTACATTACCAAAGTATAGCTGCAAATACGAAACGGCTATTTAAACAAAAACAAAAATCCAGTTGAATTTCGTTTATAAACAAAATAAATAAAAGCACACCAATATCAGATATATGGCGATTTATGAAGTCAATAAATAAAAAATCTTATACATCCAAAAAAACTCAAATCCCAAATGAATTAATAAAAAAACTATTCGATATTTTAGCTCCTCCATCTATCCCTGGAAACCTCTTTGGTCCCCAATTTATATTTCACTTTGAGTCAGATTATTTGTTGAAATCTTTTAGCTACTCTGAATTGGATTTGATTTTGAAAAATACACGAAATACAGCACCCGGGCTAGACGGGTTTACCTATAAAATTCTATATAATTTACAACCCATAGCTAAACTCGCACTCTTAACAATCTTTAACAATTGGTGGATGAAACAAGAATACACTGAAAAATTTAAAAATATTTTAATTTGTCCCATACTAAAACCGCAGAAAAATCCTGACCTACCTTCATCATACCGTCCTATAGCATTAATATCGTGCATAACAAAAACATTTGGACGTTTAATCAAGTTAAGATTAGAACATTTCTTAGAGAGCAAATTATTGCTACCGACCTTTCAATATGGCTTTCGAAGAGGGAAATGAATACTAGATGCAGTCTCTCATTTAGTGACAGATACACAGAGGTGTTCTGCAAAAAACGAATACTTAATGTGTCTTCTTATAGATTTAAAAGGAACCTATGATGTAGATTTAAACATACTTTACACAAAAATGCTTAATATTGGTATAAATAAAAAGGTTTCAGTTAAACTTGTTTCAGAATCGAAAATTATATCTCAGAGATCATAATAACGTTTTAAATGGTCCACGTTTAGTCTATAATGGTCTCCTACAAGGCTTTATTTAAAGTCCGTTACTTTTCAACATATACACAGCCGAATTGCATGGTTTATTTGATGACAATAATAATATTATCCAATACGCCGATGATATCTGCGTATATGTCTCCCATTAAACATATGAAGAATGCTACAGAGATTTGCGATATATACTATATTGCCTTAAAAATTGGTTATTCGAATTAGGTTTTAGTATGTCACCAGAGAAATCTGCCATTATGTGCTTTTCAAGACACAGAAGGAGATTTCCAGATAATATTACTATTGGTGAATATACTATCCCTGTTGTCGAACATTACAAATATTTAGGTATTTTCTTAGACAAAAAACTATTATGGACCAAACATATACAATACTTAAGATCAAAATGTGAGAAAGGTATAAATCTTCTAAAGGTTGTATGCAAGCAAACATATGGAGATGATCCTAACTTATCCATTATGTTCTATAGGTCCTACATTCGTTCTCTTATCGATTATGGGTGCACATTATACGGATCCGCATCAAATACTAACTTGTTAGTATTGGATCACATGCAATACAAGGCCTTAAAAATATGCTTAGGTGCAATTAAGTCATCACCGAATCATGCAATTCTAGCTTAGTCACAAGAACCTCCGTTAGCATTTCGCAGACAATACTTGGCGAATAAAGCAGTAGTCAAATATAGATCATATAATACGTTCATAACAAATCAAATCTCAGCTATTGCTATAGAAAACCTTACAAATAGATATTGGATGAAAAAAAAAAAAACGCGCCACCTCTAGCTGAAGCCTTTGTTGATACCAGTAATCTCGATAATCATATAACTACATACGAACAATACCCGATATTTCTTTATACATTTTAAACAATAATTGTTAACATACTCCGAAATACCCTCTTTGAATAATGCCATCTTGAAAGGAATATTAAATAGTTTCATAGACTATGATGTAAATATATACACAGATGGATCCAAAAGTAAAATCGGAACTGGTTTCGGAATTTTTGTTTCAACCACAAATCATAATGAAACATATCGTATTTCAGACATATCTTCAATATTTACGGCCGAAGATTAAGCAGTACAAAAAGCACTAGAATGGGTTAAAACTATAATATTATCTGACTCTAAATCGGTACTACAAGTTCTACAAGGATGCCTATTAAAACATTATAACAATAATCATATTTAGAATTAAAGAATCAATTGAAGATGCCAAAATAAAAAACATAAAAATACAGTTCATTTGGGTTAAAGGCCACTTAGGTATTGTAGGAAATGAAATAGTAGATGAGGCTGCCAAACAAGCATGTAGTATTGAAAATATCACAAAAGCTTCTACTAATAAAAATGATATCTTGTGTAAACTAAAGAAGGACATTAGGGACAAATGGTCGGCTTTATATAATGAGTTTGTTAGCAGATCAAGAAACCATTACTTTTTAATACATCCTACCCTCCCAAAAGATATTCCAAACCTCTATTTCTCTACTTCTAGAACCTATTATACCATTATAACGCGACTTAAACTAAATCACGGACGCTTTCCTCATCATCTGATCAAAATAGGAATTTTAGAGAATCCCTACTGCCCTTGCGACAATTCAAGTATTGCAGACTTATTCTTCCACTGTTCTAATAATAATATTGCTATAATACAATTATTATCTGAGCTAAAAAACTTTAATATATTTCCCCCACTTAATATTACCACTCTTCTTAATAGTTTTGACCAGAAAATATATGACCTATTAGTACAATTTATATATAAAACCAAAATAGTTATATAATATATTGTAATAATACCACAAACAATCTGTGGCAAATGGACTTCGAATCCGATGCCAACCCCCACCCAACACACACACACACACACACACACACACACACACACACACACACACACACACACACACACACACACACACACACACACACACACACACACACACACACACACACACACACACACACACACACACACACACACACACACACACACACACACACACACACACACACACACACACACACACACACACACACACACACACACACACACACACACACACACACACACACACACACACACACACACACACACACACACACACACACACACACACACACACACACACACACACACACACACACACACACACACACACACACACACACACACACACACACACACACACACACACACACACACACACACACACACACACACACACACACACACACACACACACACACACACACACACACACACACACACACACACACACACACACACACACACACACACACACACACACACACACACACACACACACACACACACACACACACACACACACACACACACACACACACACACACACACACACACACACACACACACACACACACACACACACACACACACACACACACACACACACACACACACACACACACACACACACACACACACACACACACACACACACACACACACACACACACACACACACACACACACACACACACACACACACACACACACACACACACACACACACACACACACACACACACACACACACACACACACACACACACACACACACACACACACACACACACACACACACACACACACACACACACACACACACACACACACACACACACACACACACACACACACACACACACACACACACACACACACACACACACACACACACACACACACACACACACACACACACACACACACACACACACACACACACACACACACACACACACACACACACACACACACACACACACACACACACACACACACACACACACACACACACACACACACACACACAATATAATTTTTACTTCTGCACTCTTTAAATACAAACAGTCTTTCATTTTCTCCTATTACCCAGTGTTTTCACATCATAATATAACTTTTAAAAAATTTATCAATATGGATAGATTAATACAAACTAGAAGATAAGCGGTGAAAAGATGATCAAATAATTTAAATATGTTTTACCTGTTCTTGAGTAACTCTATCTAAATAGAGGGAAAATATACCGCATTACAATAGTTCACAGTAGTTTATAATAACACTAAGGATCAGAAAGTCTTTTTGGTTTTCATTTTTATTTGCATACTCAGCATAGTTACATACAGCATTCTCATAGTAGGTAACATTTTTGTAGAATGTTAACATGTTTCTTGAACCTTAGAGCACAAGCAATTACAAGTCCTATATCTTTAGCAATACCAGGAATATTACTTAGACTGATTATTATAAAAGCCGTTCTAAATATACTACGTGCAATCTGGAAATAATTTCAAATGCTATTTTTTCAGCTAAGTTTTCATGGGTAGGACAAAATCTTGCAAACATGGGCAGCACAGATCGAAGTGAATTGGAAAAAGTAGCCATGTTAAAAAAATTAACTTTGGGATGGTACGATGAAGTAGAAGAATTTCATAATTCGTGGGTAGACAGTCACGAACAAAGGTAAGAAATTTTGCTTTATTTATAATAGTTTTATTTTTATTAATATTTTGTTAATTTTATAATAAAAAAGAATGTGATTGTTTAGCTTAAATTCGGACTTGGCTGAATTATGTTATGTGTTGGTCCATAGGCAGACTGTAGTCTAAAAGATCTATTGTGCGCCCTTCTGTCACAAATACAGCAAAGGAATAGTCGCGATGCCTTTAACGACCCTTCCAATCCGATCTTCTCAATGAAATGTAAATATAGGAATTACAGTGGGACTAAGTTAGGTAGATTGCCCTTCTCTAATTGGTTTGCTGTTAAGTATAATGCCCTTGAATTCTGGAGTGCTATACATTTACTCAGAATATGATTTAAGGTTTTGTCCTCGTCACAGAATCTGCACTTAATATCTTCTAATAATGTCAGTTTACTAAGGTGTCCTTTCAGTTAGCAATTCCTGGTAATAATCCCTGTTACAATGCGTAACCTGTTCGTGCTCTGACAGATGCAGATTTCAAATATTTTCTTGTTATAGTCCCCCATAAGTATCTACTCTCAGAGATTGTTCGGTTCTTCTACTGTTCGGTTCTTCTACTGCCCAATTATTTTTTAATATCTCGTAATATTATGTTTCTGATACCACAAAATGGCTCTGGTTCCACAAATGGATATTTGATCCCTTTTTATGCGAAACTATCTGCAATCTAGTTACCCTTTACCCCGATCTGTCCCAAGATCGAAGTAAGAGTACCTGTATTTTCCTCGTCCACCTGATTTTTTTTTTATTCATTTACAGACCATTTTTAAGCTGATTTCGTAAGAGATCAGAGTCTTGATGGCTGCTTGGTTATCTGACATGATGATAGTATTTTTTCTGCGACAGTGTCTGTCGATGTTGAACTGGATACACCACTCAAAAACATGCATTTTCGTCTGTTAAATAATTGGGTATTTGCCCAAACTTTCAGAGTGCCGTTTTTTAGGCACATGCAGACACGATTGATTATTGACTCCGTTTATTTTTGCAACCCAGCTCTGTGGTTTTAAAGTTTTTCACAAACTCTACTTGTTTCCAATTTTTTTCTGGGGCATATTCCAAGTACCTTCGGTCCTGAGGCTAATAAACTTTTGTCCGATTACTCCGTTCTTAATAATTATTCTATCTTGATCTTTTTGCCACGCTCTCTATCATTAAGTATAGATGAGGTGAAGTCATGTGGCCATAGAACAGGTTCTCATTGCACCGGTGATGCAAATACAGGCTATTTTTTGTTCTTTTAAGATATTAGCTCTTGTAGTAGCTAAAATAGTTTTGTTACTCCAGGATACAGTCCCGTAAGTGATAATTGATCGTTCTGTTACTGTATACATCCATCGCAGAGTGTTTCTTGCAATGTTCTTGTGTACCATTAGGGATTTTGTGGCCTTATTTACTATTTTCTTCTCATGCATTTAGCTAAAGTATATAATATAAAGACATATAATAAAAACTGCATATCTCAGAAGGACCTAAGTTAGTTAGTTTCAATAATTTTTTTTCTTTTAATATTCTTTTGTTTCTTATATTGCTTATTTTTAAAGGCAACATTATCTTTTTTTACAATTGTCAATTATCTTATTATTTACGCCGTATGAATATTGTTTTAGATATCCTCTTGCTCTTAATTGATATTTTTGAATATCTCCTCAAACGTATATAGCAGTAGGCATCGAAATAATTTTTATAAATAAACTTAAATAAGCATTACCTCTATTTTGCTAGTTAGATTTCTTATGAACACCTGTTCTAAGGTCTACCTAGCCTTTATAATATTGGTCTTCTACATCAGTTAGTCAAAATACCTTTTTTTACATAAGAGAATGTTGAATATTTAAAAAAGGCTTTTAATTGAAATATGTTCCTGTAAAACGTTTATGTTAAAAATTTGGTAATATGTGTTTCATCGGTCTAGGACATTTGGGCGCGGCCGTTGGGGCGTGGAGACGTTTGGGCGCGGGGACATTAGGGCGCGGCTACATTTGGGCGCGAGCTGTTTGGGCGCGGGGACATTTGGGCGCGAGGAAATTAAACACATATTATTGTGAGTACTATTAATGTTTTATTTTCTAAAATAAAATATATATAATTTTATAGAAACTACATTTTAAGCAGTCATTTTGTAATTGTATGAAATTCCTTTTAAAAATTCAATAATATAAAATAATAACGTCATCTAAGGTATGAATGCGACATTTGGAACCTTGATTTTTCAGTTCACAGCGCCAAAATTTTTTAGTTCCGCAAGCACTAAATTTGTCAAAGACATAGCAGTAGCCATTGGTATTGTACATACACTTGCCCCGTATTGATACTACTTTCATTTTTAATTTTGGAAAAGAAACACACTAATAAAACTGAATACTATAAACACTATTACTCAAACTGATGTTAAATAGAAACTGACCCACTGTAAGTAATTTTCGGCATATATACAAACTGCCAGGTAGTAATAACTTATCAAAACTAAATTATCTGTAATAATTTGATTGTTATGATACACGTAAAATAAATTTCTATATTTAAAATCAATGATAGGTAAAAATAACTTGTCAAAACAAAATTATCTCTAATGTTTGCTTGTTATGAGTCACTTTAGGTAATTTTCAGTATTTACAACCAATACCAGATAATAATAACCTATCATAAGTAAATTACCTATCTTACTTATGTGTTCCTTATAATGCACTTTAGGTAACTTTCAGCATTTCTATATTTAATCTTCAATATTTCTCTGACATTACTCTAAATTATAACCTTAATATTCATAAATATACATAATGTTTACCTTCTTAAATCACTAAATTATAATTAACTACTGACATTAGTTATTCGTCATTCATAAAAAAAAAGTTATTTTAAACGATATTTCAAAAAAAAAAAAAAAAAACAATCAAAATTTGACAGGAATTTCAGTAGCCAACTTTGATATGGGCTATTTTAAGTTTTCAAATAAGCAGAGGTGATTGTTCCACGACGTATTTTTTCAATGGTAGTATTAAAAAAAATCCCATATGGATCCAAATTTATGGCACACACTGTACAACCAGAATTGCTTCAATTAAAACATTCAAATTTAATAAAAATCTAAGAAGCTTTTATATTCTTACTTTAATTTAATATTTCTAATAATTATTTATCTGTTTATTACATTAATTGTAGTAAAAAATACTAATAACTCTTACTGACAAAAAGTTAATGATAATACAAATTCGAAAATATAACCCATTAATCAAAATACCCTCGCTCAAACGTCCTCGAGCCCAAACGGTTCCGCGCCCAAACGTCTTGGCGCCCAAACGTCTCCGCGCCCAAATGTCCTGCGCCCAGATGGCCGCGCCCAAATGCCCGGCTCCGGTATTTCATACATTACATTTTACCAATATTTATACCATTTTTACGTAATGTTGAATATAATTTGTTTTTTGCAGAGGTGTCATGATAGGTCACTACACGCAACTAGTGTGGGGCGATACAAAAGAACTTGGTTGCGCTATGTCCTTCTACTCTCACAACGATGGCTTATACAAATGGTACAACTTAAAACTAGCCTGCAATTACGGTCCAGGTGGCAACTGGCTGGGACAACCCGTATACAAAGCTGGAAAACCAGCGACGAAATGTGCTGGAAGAAAACCTAATAAAAGATTTCCCGGATTGTGTGGGGTGGACGTCTCTGTTAACCATACTAAGAATTATCATAACGAGTTTTTTAACTATCACATTTAATTCCAACTTTTTTTTAGTCTTCAGTAAAATAATTTTCTGACACAAAGAGAAACATTGTTCTTAGATATTATATATCTAAACTTTATCACTATATTTAAAGTTGTCATTTTTTAAATTAGAATTTAGAAAATTATGGTGTGTTAAAATTAAAGAAATTATTTTTAATAAGGTCAGTTTTATTCAAATAGTATGTTGAATTGATTAAATAATAAATATGTATTCAGTTAGCATTCACAGCGAGTTAAGTTTATTTAACTTTATATAACTATTTGTGTATTAAAAGTGAATAGTAATACTTTGCCGCTTGAGACAGAAAGTTGGCCGCGCGACGCGTAGCAGAGCGCGCAATCTGTACAAAGCGGCAACGAACTTTTCGCTCAAAATGCACACAAGATTTTCTCTACGATCACACTAATTAAAAAAATATACATAAAAACTAAAAATCTGTCGTAAGTAGTGTAAAATGTGTCGCTTATATCTAAGTTAATCATGAAAACGGAGTTGATATTCAAAGTTAATGTTAACTTGGATAATAAAAAAATAAAACATCAAACAACGTACAAATAACTTGAAAATCATTTACTAGAAAGAAATATTATTATATTAAATCTAATTTAAATTAGGTGAGCAATAAAGCTGTCAAGTTTTCCGCTCGGCGAGCGAAAAAGCTGTTACTTCGGAAAACGTCAACTTTGCGGTTGTATTTCGAAAGTGATCGCAGAAAAATATTTATTTAAAGAACAAAAATAATTTACTATTCTGAAAATTTGGACTTAATTATTAGGTCTTAACTCAATTATAACTAGAATAAAACAGATGTGTTTTACATTATGACAGTTAATGCAATGTTAGCAGTTTAGTTTTATATTAAAATATAAGCGATTCATTTTATATAGCTCCTCCCTCCTTAGGCAAAAACAATACCGATATGTGGTTGTTTTCAGGTTGATGGTTTTCTTCTGAGCAATTTGGGGGAGTTGTGGCTCTCTTCCTAAGGTACCATAAGCAGATAATACCAGTTACCAGGGCTATTACTATTGTTAGCCTAAGTATATTCCAAACTATGGGGTGGATTTATTGTGGAATTTGCGTGGACTTTGCTTTCATCTATAATTTTTGTATAGTTATTGAATGTAATTTTAGAAACGGCTTTTGCCTACGTTCTGTGCATTTTAATAAACATTGTAAAGGAGAAGTGCAGATTTCGTGGCGTTGACCATAGTCTTTAAACTGTGACCATAGTAATAATATATGTCCAGACAAAAAAAACCCTCCCGTATGTTTTGTAAGGTTAACTGTCTGAAACATACTAAACAAATAACAGTTAGGTACACATTTGAAAATGTTAGTTATTCAAAAGCTTTAAACACTCATAAACTCAGTTACAAACAATAGTACCCAGAGCTCTAAATATACAATAACACATAAAAATCGTTCCTGTTAGTCCAATAGAACTTAACCATATGAGTCAAGAGCGTAGATATCTTTCTCAGAAATATTCCCCAGTACCATAAGTTACCTCAAGGCCGGCGGGGTTGGTTGTAGTTTAGCCATTGCTTTGTAGCTTAGATTGCTTGCTTGTTTGCTTGTCCGCTTGTAGGTAACTCTTTTTGCATGCCAATGGAGAAATGCAATCATCAAGTGTCTGCCTCCTCGTGGAACCGCTGGATACGTTAATATTGCTGCTCTATGAACAGCACTATTAACTGACTAAATGGCACTCCATTAATACCACAAGCCAAGGTGTAAGGCAACGTGCTGAAGGCTGACTGGCCGCTGGAAAAGCGGTTTCAAACGTTCCTCTGGGGGCTCCTTGCGAAACCCTCTTGTATCCAACCTTGCCGGCGCATGCGGGGCTCTGCGTTGGTCGACTTTTCTTTTATAGCTGTTCGTGGGATTTACATGGGCAAGAAAACTAAAGAAAGTAAAAACCGGGGAACTACACCGCCACTAAATCTGATCAAACGGAGCCTGCCATCCGAAGCGATCAACCTCCCTCAACCTCTCAAGTGAGACAATCTCACAAGAAAGAAGTGAAAGAACAAAAGAAAGAGGTGAAGGGAGAAGAGAAGAGGAGTACCATCGCTTCACCTTCTCCATCCCCCTCTCACCACTCATCGACGAAGGAAGCTCCCCTCAAAAAAGAATCCAAACGGAAGCTACCTTCCTTACACCCACTGGGACAACCTGGTGGAAGGGGCGACCCACTGAGGCATGGACTCAGTGAGACAGGGGTTCGGTGTTATCTTCGCTACCTCGTTCAGGGCATGACACAGGAGGAAGCGAAAAAGAAAACTGTGGAGCACAAATCCCAGGGAGAGGGAAGTAAAAGCAATCCTAAGGATCTGAAAAGAAAGCGGGACGGGAATAACACCACACCACCGCAAAGGAAAGAAAAGAAAAAAAGTGGCCAATATTTTCGCTTCTGGCAGTTATGCAACTGTCGTGAAGACGGAGCAAGTCGAGAGCCTACCCAAGGGGTTCCGTGATACCATCCTCAGTGCGAACGAATAAACCTTGGTGAAACAAGCCATAGCAGAAGAGATGTTCGCTTGATGGAAGTATAAGCTTCAATTCCGGCCAGGAATGGTCTTAATCGACTGAAACCCCACAGTCAGCAGAATGGCTTAGGGTAAAATCCCTTATCTCAGGAACTGGAAGGAAGTGGAGTTGGAGGTATGTGCGGGAGATGACATCCCGAAAGTACATACAGTCACGCTATTTCTCCCAAGAAGTCAAGGGCAGCCTATAGAGAAGCTCCTGCACTTAATAGAAGCGCAGAATGTGGGGGTGGCGACCACACTGTGGAAAATCGTCAGCCAAAAAGACGAGGGCAAAGGCCAGATCCTTAGGTTAGGAATAGATGACCTATTTTGCCAACGGATTAAGGATAATAAATGCACTATCCACTATCTATTCGGAAAAATCCCCGTACACGGCCTTCAAAAGAAAGATGAAATAAAGGAACTATGAGAAACAACAGAACCAACTCCTAGTACTTCCAATGATGAGACTGATGTGGGGGAGCATAGAGAGCCTTAATCTCTCAAATCTCTGCGTAGACTCATCTGAGGATGTAGAAATTGATGAAGAAGCAGAAAAGGGGGATATGGAACACAACCTCACCGATGGGGACAACACCATCATTAAGGGAGAGTAAAATGATGGCAAGCATCGACATCGCCCAAGTGAATGTCCATCACGCCAAGGAAGCCTCGGCTGTGATCTCCAGGACATTCACTGAAGATCAATTAGGGATCGTGCTGATTCAGGAACCGTGGGTCTATGGAAACCAGCTAAGAGAACTTGCATGTAAGGTAATTTATCACACTAGTGATGAAGTACTCAGAAAATGTATAATGATAAGAAGTAATATTAAGTATTCTTGTCTTTCAGAATTCATGACGCATGATCTCGTTCCAATTCGAGCATACCTGGAATTAGGGACGAGGCGGCAAGACATAATTATAGCTTTTAGTCACTTCGCCGGATATGGGCATGTACCACCCTCGGAAATATCGAGGCTAGTGGAGTATTGGAAGAGAAGACATCTGCCATTGCTTCTTGAACGCGACGCCAATGCGCACAGTACCGTATGGGAAAGCAACGACACCAATCAAAGAGGTGAGCAAATTTTGGAATATATTTTTAATAAGAACCTTATTGTGCAAAATATTGGGAATACTCCAACATTTGTAATAAGTGCAAAAAGTGAGATATTAGACATTACATTAAGCACACCGAGCATTAAAAATATAGTTAAAAACTGGAGGGTATCGAGTGAACCATCTCTATCTGATCACAAGATAATTGTGTTTACGTTAAAGAGCGACATTCCTGAGACAATCCTCAGGAGGAATCCTAGAAAAACTCACTGGGACAAATACAACACCATTCTAAAACAAAATTTAGCACGTATCCAGACAAAAAAGGGCCCCGGGCACCAACTTGCTCTGGAACGAGAACTCGAAGGACTAAATGGGGCAATACTTGAGGCATATGAATCGAACTGCCCATTCAAGAAATAGAACTAGTAGGGATTCTCCTTGATGGATTCATCATCTGTCAAACTTACGTTCTGAAGTGCGGAAGCTCTATAATAGGGCCTAGCGCAGCGGAGATTGGCAGAGCTGCACCGAGGCGCTTACTACATACAACAAATAAATCAGGAAAGCTAAACGTAACAGCTTTAGAAAATTCTGCTAAGATATTAAATCTACACCTGCGTCAGCGAGACTACACAGGGCCCTGGCAAAAGGGGGAGTTGATACAGTTATGGTATTAAAGAAACCAAATGGAAGCTTCACGGAAAGTGAGGAGGAAAGAGCTCGCCTCTTACTCGAAACTCACTTTCCAGGAGGCCCACCTTTTCTAATAAGGGACACAACTAAGGTAAGCAGGCCCTCAAGAGAGGCCGCCGTAGTAGCCAAACACATATTCAGCAGAAATCGGTTAAAGTGGGCCGTAAATACTTTTGAACCGTTTAAGTTTCCAGATGTGAATGGAATATTTCCTGCCCTGCATCAGCAGGTACAGGAGGATTTATTACCACACATAATCCGGCTATCTAGAGCAGTCTGGAGCTGGGATATATACCAGAAGCATGGAGAAGGGCCAGAGTTACCTTTATTCCAAAAGTAGAAAAAAAAGATAGCATCCATCCTAAATCCTTCCGACCAATCAGCCTCACATCCTTTGTATTAAAAACAATGGAGAAGGCTCTTGATAATTATATCAGAACGGAAGTCCTGGAGAGGGTGCCACTCCACCACAGCCAACACGCGTACCGAGCAGGAAGATCTACAGAAACTGTTCTGGTTCAGTTGACTGACGTAATTTAGGATGTACTGACAAACAGAGAAACGGTCGTGTGTGCCTTTCTAGGCATAGAAGGAGCTTTTGATAACACGCTACACGAATCTGTAAAAAGAGCATTTGCATACATAGGAGTAGATAACATCACATCCAGATGGATGGCTCAGCTGTTACCTGCGAGAACTGCAGAGACACAGATAGGGCAGGACACCATCTCTATTTGCACAACCAGAGGATGTCCACAAGGAGTAGTTCTATCCCCACTAATGTGGAGCCTGATCGTAGACAAACTTCTATGCAGATTGATTGACCTCGGAATACCCTGTCAAGGTTACGCCGACGACAGTCATATTTGC